TAGACCAGTGTATATACAGGTAAACTATATTATTGCTCAAGGTAGATAAATATATATATCAACTTTTCCAAGCATTGAGCTCTTTTGTGGGTTTACATTGTGCATGTGATTCTTGATGTTCTTCTGCTATCTTTCAGCACCACTAATCATAACACTCAGAGCCGATACCTTTTAGCTGATAGATAACTAATCAGGATAAGTTTCTCATATCAAAACTTGTGCCTGAGTTTCAATGATTAATTCCTCATACAGTTTATTCAACAAGTCATAGGACTTGTATAGTGATCCATTTATAGTTCTTTGACAGTTCAGTTAGATATTTTCTGTGCATACATAAATATCGTCATTGGATGTTATTCCTCTTCTGCTAACGTGAGTTTTATTTTGAGATTACCATAGATGAGGCTTCCATGTCGGTTATTTATTGGAACTTTTCTTCCTCACACACTGTATAACTTTTAACATGCCTATCAATGAAGTAAATCTTTGATCACTCAATTGTCCAGTATAGTTTTTGAATGGTAGAGTACTTAAGGTTTTGGGTACCTGTGTTTTGCATCATTGGTATGATCTTCTTGTCCTTTTGTTAAAAGAAAAGTTCAACTTTCTCTGCCAAGTGAACTGGTAGCAATGTCCAAGTTGCTGCTTTAGCAGAATCTAGAAATAGACTGCATTGCGGTATTCTATTGTTATTCCATGTGATCTTTTTTGTTTTCACTGAAGAACTTACAATCTCTAAGTTATAATATTACTAAATGTTTATGGTTTCCTCTGTCTGCAGATTCCGATATATGATTGTCTCAAGAATTTGTATTTTACGTTTCTTTTTGTTATTTGAGCTACTGGGAATTTAATAAGGATCATCACGGTCCTTGATCTGCTACCTGCTTTACAATCCAAAACTTCTAGCTCTCTGTCCACTTCCGTTTGGTGAAACTAAGTTGTGGCAAGGCTAAAGTGGATGTGAACTGAAGTAGTAGATTCAGAAGCAGTTCGAGAACATCAGTGCGCTAATGCACTATGTTAGATGATAAAAATGTTGCCTTTGGAAAAGTTACAGGTTCTTGGCCGTGATATAACAATCTAGAGTTTGACAAGTAAAAAGGAGGCCACGTGATATTGGTACTATCCCCTGCTGAGTACTTGAAGCTTCTTGCCTCCAGCTTGAAACAACAACCTGATAGAATAACTGAGAGCTTGGCTAGGATGAGATTTGACAACTTTCTGTGTCTGAGAATTGAGTTGTGATAAGTAACTTAATAGTCCCCTTAGTTTTTTGTTCTGTTTTTATTTGTGAAATACTACAAGTCCAACAATTTGGCCCTCACTTTAGATACGATGTTTGAGTTAAAAGTTTATTGTTGCTATTGAAAAATAGTCATCTGATCCCTGTCATTGAGGTAACTTATGCAACATTACCAACTTTCTTTGACTGAAGAAGTTACAGTCTCTCAGATAGATTGCTAATAGTGATAGAACAAAAGCTATCAAAAGCAAATTTTAGTTTTTGACTTTTTGACTAATTTTATCTAAAGTTACTCACACCCTCTAACTTTGCAAGAAAATTATCCATGCGTCAAAATTGAAATTGAAAGACCATATCACCGAAAAAAATAAAAATAAAAATTGAAAGACCACAAAATTAAAATAAATAAATCTACCTTTTCCAACACTTTCATGGAAGAACATGATATATTACACAAGTACTAATTTGATCTTCTACTTTGTTTCCTTGCTTTTTGATAGATTTCTTAATCATTTTGTGGGATACTGTGTATTAGAATAAGCAACGTAATAATCCCATCAAAAGAAGTATACTTAACAAAGTCTTATAAAAGCATGTATCTACAACTATTACGCGTTAAGATAAATTATTACTAATATTTAACGTAATAGAGTTAAATGATTTTAAAAAAGTACTTGTCGCGCAACGCGCGACATGTAAAAGACTAGTTATTAAAAAAAAGTGAAAGTTGTTGATTATTAATGTATAGAAGTTTAGCTGTACGTTTTAAAAAGGTGCAGAATGCCTGGTACTAATTATAACTCTAAAGGCAAACCCATACTGTATTCTGGTTTTAGTGAATACTCTGTTTAGTGATTTAATCTTCCAGCACCTACAGATCAAATTAAAGAAGTTAGGCAGAAAACCGAAAGGCTGTGACCTATGAGAAGGTGTTTTTTCAAATTTCTTCCTTAATTTTTTTTTTTTCAAAACTTCTCCAATACTTTAAAAAAAGAAAAACAGTTCAAAATGTTCAAAGTCAATTGTTGGGGAGGGCGAGACTATAAGAGGAAAAAAAATTGATAATTGATTAATCTCTCAAAAATCATATTCTGTCTATCCCAAAATTATTGTCTAGGTCGAATTTTTACTTTTATTTAATTTGTGTTAAAAATGAAAATTATTACCGGACAATAATTGGGGGTAATAATAAATTACATATAAGTTTTGGGTCAAAAGAAAAAAGAAAGATAAACAATCAAACAGAATACTTTTAAAGGCCAGAAACAAGCAAGGCCCGGCTGACAAGCCCAACAGGCCTGCAGACTCTGGGAGTTCATCTCTAACTTTGGAGTAGTAAGTGGAGTACTTAGGTGATATACACTAAACAGTATGCTCTCAGGTTGCCTATGCATTATTCTGCTCTTTTCTGTTTTCTCCTTTGAGCAACTGATGTTTTGGTTCCCTTTTTTGTAAATTTTTTTTCTTTTTTTTTTTTCGGGGTGGCTTTTAATTGCATCAGCCATCAGGTGCTTGACATTGCTCTTGGCTGTAAATTAGTTGCCACCCATTCTAGTACAATCAATGAGATTAGCAGTAGAACAGAATTAACTTAATTAAGTAATTAATTGTCATTATCAAGCCACCTCTGGCGTATGACTTGAGGCATAATTAAGTAGAAACTCCAAAACAAATTCAAAGACCACGTGTAAACGGAGAGATGCTTCACTATTCCCAGTTAAATAAAGGGGCCCATCTAACCGTTCCTACAAAAATCTTATGTTTGTTTCGTTTTTTTAGTGTGTATTTTAGGTGTTTTTTGTATTAAAAATATAAAAAAATGTATTAAAAATGTAAAAAGGTATACTGGAATGGACAGTTATTATTATTTAATTCTGAAAAAATCAACTAAAAAAGAAAACAAACAAAGCCTTACTCGTCTCGTGGTTCTAGTTTTGTGATTTTTGTATAATCTATATTTAGAAACCCTATAAAATCTTTTGCGTTATTTTTTGGTAAACATAATTTTATAACTTCTAACATAAACTTCATGAGCAAAGTAAAAGTACTTTTATGCAGACCCCTCAATTTCCTTTCATTTCTTTCCTTCGACAGCTATTTTCACACAAAGCAATTGACTTGATTAACAAAAGACTTTCACAGGAGAATGGTTCGAAATATGGCTAAGTCTTAGCTAACTAATCAGGTTATTAAATTACTTCTTTGGTTCTACTATGAAAGTATTTTGAGGAATAGAAAACGGGAGGAATAATAATATTGCCACGTTTGACTGTCAACTTCAAGAGAATGCTTCTCCAACCACTAGACTTCCATACATACCACCAAAGGACAAAAGAAAACTCCCTTTGATTTCCAGTCGTTTCGCAATTCCTTCGTATTTCCAAAATCTATAAATACTGGTCACTGAAACACCTATATTTTTAAAGGAAGTTAAAACCAGATCAGGAGAAAGATGTCAAATGTTTGAATATTTCTTACTCGATTGAGGATTATGTTCATATTACCAAGAAATATCGAGTTGCATCATGCATGACCAGTTTGAACTCTATCAACATTGCCAAAAAGGGACAAAATGAAACAATCTCTTATAAGGGCAATTATGCTATAATGTAACTTTAGGGTAACCAATGTGCAAACAATGTTACGGTGTTAGCATAAAAACCTCCAAGAAATTATGCAATGATTTAGTTCGTAAAACAAAAGTTTACATGTGTACAATATGCATATATACTCACTTCGGTCCTTAATATAAGGCATTTTGATTTGTCCTACGTCTAACCTAGTACACATTTTTTATCGACGAAAAAACCTTAAAAATATTTTACAACAATCAAGAGAACACAACGAATGTGAAAATATATTTTTAAGATTTTTTTGTCAATTAAAAATATGTACTTGGTGAAATATAGGACAAACCAAAAATACCTTATAATAAGAATCAGAGGGAAGTATATATAAAAGTAGATTTGAATTTAGCGCGTTAAATGTTAATATTATCAATCAAGTTAATAGTTATATACATATCATATCAAATTCCCGTCTAAAAGAGGTTAGACAAATCTGTCATTGTCAAAATTGCCTACTCAAAATTTAATACTACTTCGGTCTTAATTAAAAGTAGAGATAAATTCTTGTTTTAATACGTTGGAGTCCCAAATCATCATCAACGATTCATGAACTCAATAAAGACCGGACAAATACAATATACCAAGCGAAAGATCCGGTAATATCTAGGTCCCCCAACACCCACAAGAGTCAGAGGTCTTGTTGCCGTTCAATAATGGCCAAATCTTTAAAATAGTTTGATAACAAAGGGATGAAATGGGATCATTGTCAACTTTCAACCATGTTTTTTCCTTTTTACAAGAAAGAAAACTATGTATATCATCACGAAATTAAATTAAAACATTGCATATATAAATAACACTGATTATGTCTTGTTCAAATTACGATTTAATACTTAGAGGAGAATCATTAAAATCTTTGCAAACCATCCCGAAAGAGTAGCCGCTACATGTAAGATGATGTCTATGCAAATATTAGTAGTACGTACCAAATTCACTTCCGAGTTTCTTGTAATGAATAGGTTTACATTTGACACATTAGTTTCCTACAGTGAATGAGACTTTGAAATTAAGGGATCAAATTACACTTCTCTTTTTTTTTTTTTTTTAACATAAAAACCTACAATAACTTATAAATTCAATGGAGTATTGTTGTGATTTAACCATTATGGAATATCAGCGTGTTTACCTAGTCAACTGGCTATTTTGCATAAATTAGATTTCAAGGTTGCTCAAGGCAGTATATAATCATGAACGCTTGAACTTAATTACAGAACCAAACAAAACCCAAAATGGCAACTGGAATACTTTCCAATTCCATACCGTTTCTATTATTGCTCATTGGTACTCTATCATTCCAAACGTTTCTCATCAATCATCTGGCTCTCGCTGATGTTTCAACGGCCAGCAAAGCCCGATACGCATTAGAGATACGTAGACGTCTCGCCAATGACTCTTTGTCGCCGGTTGGACCCCCACCTCCACCTTCTAGCGATCGGAATTCTAGACCGCCAATTGAACCTCTTCCTCCACCTTCTGGCGATCAGAACTCTAGATCGCCAATTGAACCTCCACCACCACCTTCTGGTGAACGGAATTCTACACCGTCAGAAACTCCACCTCTAGCTTCTGGTGATCAGAACTCTACACCACCAATTGAACCTCCACCTCCACCTTCTGGTGATCGAAACTCTACACCGCCAATTGAAACTCCACCTCCACTTTCTGGCGATCGAAACTCTATACCTCCAATTGAATCTCCACTGCCAGTTGAACCTCCACCTCCACCTTCTGGCAATCGAAACTCTACACCGCCAATTGAACCTCCATCGCCGCCTTCTGGCGATCGGAACTCTAGACCGCCAATTGAACCTCCATCGCCGCCTTCTGGTGAACGGAATTCTACGCCGCCAATTGAACCTCCACCTCCACCTTCTGGTGATCGAAACTCAACACCGCCAATTGAACCTCCACCGCCAATCGAACCTCCACCTCCACCTTCTGGTGATCGAAACTCTACACCGCCAATTGAACCTCCACCGCCAATCGAACCTCCACCTCCACCTTCTGGTGATCGAAACTCTACACCGCCAATTGAACCCCCACCGCTAATCGAACCTCCACCTCCACCTTCTGGTGATCAAAACTCTACACCGCCAATTGGACCTCCACCTCCACCTTCTGGTGATCGAAACTCAACACCGCCAATTGAACCTCCACCGCCAATCGAACCTCCACCTCTACCTTCTGGTGATCGAAACTCTACACCGCCAATTGAACCTCTATCACCAATCGAACCTCCACCTCCACCTTCTAGTGATCGAAACTCTACACCGCCAATTGAACCTCCACCTCCACATTCTGGTGATCGAAACTCAACACCGCCAATCGAACCTCCACCTCCACCTTCTGGTGATCGAAACTCTACACCGCCAATTGAACCTCCACCGCCAATAGAACCTCCACCTCCACCTTCTGGTGATCGAAATTCTACACCACTAATTGAACCTCCACCGCCAATCGAACCTCCACCTCCACCTTCTGGTGATCGAAACTCTACACCGCCAATTGAACCTCCACCTCCACCTTCTGGTGATCGAAACTCAATACCGCCAATTGAACCTCCACCGCCAATCGAACTTCCACCTCCACCTTCTGGTGATCGAAACTCTACATCGCCAATTGAACCTCCACCGCCAATCGAACCTCCACCTCCACCTTCTGGTGATCGAAACTCTACACTGCCAGTTGAACCCCCACCGCCAATCGAATCTCCACCTCCACCTTCTGGTGATCAAGACTCTACACCGCCAATTGGACCTCCACCTCCACCTTCTGGCGGTCGAAACTCTACACCTCCAATTGAACCTCCACCTCCACCTTCTGGTAATCGGAACTCTACACCACCAATTGAATCTCTACCGCCACCTTCTGGCGAACGGAACTCTATACCACCACAACCTCCACCTCCATCTTCTGGCGATCAAAACTCTACATCGCCCATTGAACCTCCACCACCACCTTCTGGCAAACGAAACTCTATATTATCAGAACCTCCACCGCCATCATCTAGTGAACGGAACTCAACACCCCCAGTTGAACCTCCACCGCCACCAACTGAATCTACACCGCCACCCAATAACGAGACTCCTCCACCAGTCACTCTACCTCTACCTCCACCTTCACCTTTGCCTTCTCCACCACTAGCTGAACCTCCATCGCCACCTTTTGACGAACGAAACACTCCATCACCAGCTGAACCTCCTTCAATATCACATCATAATGCTCCTCCTCCTGTTATCCCACCTCCTCCGCCACCACCAACTGAATCTTCACCACCACCTTTTGAGGAACAGAAATCTCCACCACCAACTAGACATCTTTCACCTCCCATCACTCCTCCTACACCAGCTAAACCTCCTTCACATCATAATAATGATATTCCGCCACAACCTCCACCACCAAAATCATTTGAGAGCAAGCGTATTGAGCTCGTTTACCCCATCATCCAGAAGCTGAAGAAAAAAATCACGTATGACCCCAAGAGTATCACCAAAACTTGGGTCGGTTTCGATATATGTGGCAAATACAAAGGATTTCGGTGTGCTACTGTCCCTGATTTCGGAGTCAAAGCTGTGTCTGGGGTACAATTTAACGGGTTCAACTTTGATGGTCCGAATCTGACATTAGAAGGCTTCATTGATGAGATGCCGGACGTCAGTATCTTTCATGCGAATTCCAATAATTTTACTGGCGTAATTCCGAAGAAAATCTCAACCCTTAAGTATTTATACGAGCTTGATTTGAGCAACAACAATTTCAGCGGTACCTTCCCTTATGAAGTTATCCGCGCAACCAATTTGACATTCTTGGACTTGAGGTTCAACAGGTATTTTGGCGTGGTGCCTCCTCAAGTTTTCACACTAGACCTTGACGCACTCTTCATCAACAATAACAACTTTCAGCAAACATTACCGGAGAATTTATTTTCTCTCCCGGCTCTTTACTTAACTCTGGCCAACAATAAACTCACCGGTCCAATACCATGCAACATCGGGAAAGCGACCAAAACATTGGCCGAAGTTCTCTTTTTAAACAACCAGCTTTCCGGCTGTCTTCCCAGCGAAATCGGGCTTCTAAACAAGCTCACTGTTTTTGACGTCAGTCGAAACCTGTTGACCGGTCAGATCCCTTATTCTTTTGGTTGTTTGACCAGCATGGAGATTCTCAACTTTGCTAACAATCAGTTTTATGGAGTTGTTCCTGATAGCTTGTGTAATTTGCCAAATTTGAAGAATTTTACGGTGTCTTTAAACTTTTTTACCGAGGTCGGCCCGGCTTGCTTGAAGCTGATTAAGAAGGGGTTTCTTGATGTGAAGAAGAATTGTATTCCTGGGCTTCCGAAACAAAGATCGGAAGAAGAATGTGCTGCTTTTGCTCGTAAACCGAAACGTTGTCCCAATCCACAAAATTACCCATTGAATTGGATGCCCTGCCGGCAGAGAATAAGTTCCAGTTCAATGGCTCGGCGTAAGGCCGGAGAATTAGAGTTGCCATTTTCTTACCACACTTTGCACCCACATGGACGATAATTAAATGATACGCCAAGCATTTTTTTAGAGGTCAATATTATGTTAGTTTTACGTGTATGAAAGTTCAATGCGCGTTGTTTTAATAGAAATCAAATGGAAGGGACGAAATAAGTGGTTTTTGTGTTTGCATTAAATTTCTTTAGTTAATTGAAATTGCCAGTTGATCACCCCCTGTTAATTTGTTATTGGTGGTGCTAGTTATTGTACCAAATAGATTGCTCGTTGCCGTGAAAAGGAATTTCTTTTCTGTTTCTTGTTTTACATTACATTTATAATTTAATGCAATTGATTCTTTCAAAACAAAAAAAAATAAAAAATACATACATACAAATACCCCAGTGATCAGATCACTTACAAGAGAGAAAATATTGTAAACATTAATCCTTATTGATTTTACTATGTCCTTGTATAATTTCTTACATAAAAATTTATCATTATTATTAATACTTTTTCTCGATAGTTGATTTTAATTACAAATTGCTAAGTTGAAATTAGGTGGCAACTTGGGGATTCCTTTATAGTGTGTAGTTGAAATGATTGGGGCCTTCGGGTTACACACAACTATTTCTCGTTGTTGAAGATTTGAATTTCACATTTAAGGAATCATGCTCGTGGATTAACAAAACGGTGAACTACATGTTACCCCTTTGTTTTATCTAAATTTACCATAATTCTCGTCTTTCGAATTTTGATAATGCTATCATGTATCTCAGAGCATGAGGTTAAATGGCTGAAATGACTAAAATGATTGTGAAGTTAATGGTTTTCCCCTATCATGTATCTCAGAGCATGAGGTTAAATGATTGAAATGACTAAAATGATCGTGAAGTTAATTTGTCTTTTCCCTTTTATTGAGTACAAATAATATTAAAAATAAAATTTTAAATTGGACTATCATTTCTATACATACAAATAATATTACTTGTAAGTTCAAATGTTATAATTTTACTGTTGCTACATTACCAGTGAGTTTTACTTTTCTTCCTGCTTGTTGTCTTTAATTTTTTGCGAAGTTTATGGCTTATTTGTCCAACTCTTATTTTATATTTTTATCTCATTTTACCTCTTAAAATAATTCTTAAACACAAATCCCAATACTATCTAAATAACTTTTTAATTTACCTTTTAAAAAATATTCTAAAAATTATATTTACCCAATTTTCATCTACCTCCACCACTACCCGCCGCCAGCTGACGATTGGCTTGTCGGATTCCAGCCAAATTCTGGCTAGTTGGCTCCGGCCGACGACGTTCCAGTCCGGCGGCGGCGGCGGAAATGGTCTGGTGGTGGTCTAAAAATATTATTATTTTATTTAAAATATTACATAAATAATTTTTTAAATTTTATCTCAAATCACATTTTAAATTACATCTTAAACCCAAATCAAAAACCAAAATAAAAACTAAAATAAAATATTGGCCAAACAAGCCCTTAATTCTTGAAACGTAGTTGGCGCCACTATGCTTGTCAGTTGGACTCCCTTCCTTGATAGAACTTGAAATGAAGGGAAACTCTCCACCATTTTGAAATGTTTTGGGCTTTCTTATATCCATTTTTATTTATTCTTGAACGAACGTTAACCCATGGGGCCTGATCACCACCAGCATTAGAACCATGAATGTGAAATTTGAGAAACCCTGATCAAAGGCTATGTTTTTTTAAAAAACATTCCAGCCACATGCCGACCGTCTGAACCTTTTTCTTTGTGTATTTTATTTTGTCCTAAATTTTCATAAACCAAGTTATAAATGTACCTAATTTTGAGACATAGACAATATAATTTAATCTAGAAATGAAAATCTAAACCGACCAATTATTTTGCAAGGGAAAAAATATCATATTCAATCCCTAATTGAAAAGGTCAAAAGTCAAAAGATAAGTGGAAAAGTTATAGAGTATAGGAACTTACTGAGTACTAACAAGTACCTAATTGTTGGATTATTCTGAGCTAGCTCTGTGATTTAAATCGATTTACATCAATACCACAACGTAGTACGTATGATGTGATTAGTATTAGAGTTAACTTGATTAAGTAATTAATTGTTGTTGTCAAGCCGCCTCCACCATCTGATCACTTCAGGCTCTCTATATTGTATATATATTTTGTCTACCCGATAAGTCGAAACTCCAAAAATAAATTCAAGGCCACAACATTCCTGTTCGTCTGGTGGTTTTAATTCTTTGTTCTTTAATTTTACTTTTGACAATCTTTTTTTTTTTTCTTTTGTAACTTGATAATAAATTGTACGTTACTTTTCGGTATTCAAACATAATAATTTTATACATTCTAACTTAAACTTTATTGCCAAAGTGGACAAATTACTTTTTATGAAGACTCCAAATTTCCTATAATTTTACATCCTTTGAGAGCTATTCTCGCAAAGCATTGACTTGATTAACAAAAGACTTTCATAGAAGAATGATTCATTATCTGGCTAAGTCATAGTTAACTAATTAGGGTAAAAATTAATTAAAATATCGCCATTGACTGTTTATGTTCTGACCTACCAAGTTGTAACTTCTCCAACCACTCTTCCATCATACATCAAATAATAACACAAAAAAGCTATATTACCAACAACAAGCTATCGGAAAGGAAAAGTAATCCCTTTGGTTTCCACTCTTTTTGCAATTCCCATGTTGATAATCATGAACACTGGACATGTATCAACATTCTTTAGTCGTTCCGTCCAAAAAACTATCACATTAATAGGCTTTTATTTTGATATAATAAACATGACAATCATATTAAGTAGAATGTCATATTAAGTAGAATAAGTAAAAATGTTAAACCTTTAAACTTTAAAGAAGAGAGGTGATCAACCGTTTGAATATTACTTACCCGGTTGGGGAGTAGTAAAAGTCTAGTGGTTTTCGTTTAATTAACTTATGCAGTTGATTGAATTTGATAAGATAAATATTATGTACCCAATCAATTTATGGATGGGATGTCATATATTTCCGTGTGGGCTCATAAGTCACAGGGGAGGTTAAGTAGGAAACGAGAAAATAACATGCATCATTTTCCAAATTGCTTACCACAAATTTAATATCATTTCCATCTTACCTAAAAAAGGGGTTAAACTTTGAATTTGGAACGGAGTAATAGAGATTGTCTTCACGGCTGACGACCCCCCGAAAATACAATATAGCAAGCGAAAGACCAAGCAATTGCTAGGGATCCAAGCATCCTTAACAATCCGATATTTGTTGCTGTTAAAAAATGCAACTGGTTTCAAAACGAAGGATGATATATAATATATGTTAGCGTGCATGTTGACATATATGTATAACGTGCATGCAAGATGGTGTATGTCATGCAAATATAGTAAATTTCCTACGGGGTTTCTTCTACTGAATAAGTTTAAATTTGATCTATCAATGCTTCATTGGTGAATCAAAATATAATATGAAATTAAGGGATCAAATTAAAACTTTTTAACCAAAAAATCCAAGATGAATAATTGGTGAAATTCATCCATTATAGGACGTCATCGTATTTACCTCGTCAATGAACTGGTTCCACTAGGGCACATTAACCGCAGCACTATAAATAACCTTTACCACTTTGAACTAAAATTACAGAACCAAAACAAAGACCAAAAAAATGGCACTAAAGATCCCTTATAGTTACGTCCCATTTCTATCATTATTGCTCATTCACATCCTATTGTTCCAAACGCTCCTCAACAATCATCTGGCCGTCGCCGATGATTCCACTAAAGCCAAAGACTATACACCACCACCAGCAAAAACCCCGTCACCACCTGATGATGACGAGGCACCCCCTCCACCGTCAGATAAATTTGAGAGCAAGCGTATTGAGATGGTTTACCCGGTGATCCAGAGACTCAAGAAAAAAATCAAGTATGACCCAAAAGGGATTATCAAAACCTGGAACGGTGCGGATATCTGTGGAAAATACAAAGGATTCAAGTGCGCCAAACACCCCGTTTACAAAGTCGACGCCGTGTCCGGCGTACAATTTAACGGGTTCAATTTCGACGGCGACGATCTAGGTTTGGATGGCTTCCTTGACGAGATGCCTGACGTCAGCATCTTCCACGTAAATTCCAACAATTTCACCGATGGAATCCCCAAGAAAATCTCAACCCTCAAGTATCTATACGAGCTTGACTTGAGCAACAACAAGTTTGGGGGTAAATTCCCTTATGAGGTTATCAAGGCAACCAATTTGACCTTCTTGGACTTGAGGTACAACGGTTATTCCGGGGTGGTCCCTCCCGAAGTGTTCACGCTGGACCTCGACGTACTCTTCATCAACAACAACAAGTTCCGGCAAACGCTGCCGGAGACTTTGTTTACCCTCCCGGCTCTTTACATAACCCTTGCCAACAACAAACTCACCGGTCCAATCCCGTCCAAAACCGGAAAAGCTTCCAAAACGTTGGCCGAAATTCTGTTTTTAAACAACCAGCTTTCCGGCTGTCTTCCCAGCGAAATCGGGCTGTTAAAGAAGCTCATGGTTTTCGACGTCAATCGAAACCTGTTGAGGGGTGAGATACCCTATTCGTTTGGTTGTTTAACCAGGATGGAGATTCTCAACTTCGGTAAAAATCAGTTTTACGGGGCGGTTCCGGATTCCATTTGCAGTTTGCCGAGTCTGAAGAATTTTACGGTGTCTTTTAACTATTTCACCGAGGTTGGACCGGCTTGCATGGAGCTGATTAAGAAAGGGTATCTTGATGTTAAGAAGAATTGTATTCTGGGACTTCCGAATCAAAGATCTAAAGAAAAATGTGATGCTTTTGCTCGTAAACCGAAAAGTTGTCCCAATCCACAAAACTACCCATTGGATTGGATGCCTTGCCGGGAGATTAGCAGTTCAATGGATCGGCGCAAGACCAGAGAATTAGAAGCAAAGCCGGCGGCTTTGCCATTTTCTTACAAGTCTCTGCACCCACATGGACGGTAATTAATTATGATGTCAATTGCTTTTTTCGCGTTGGCAATATTATGTTACTTTACGTGCATGGAAGCGCAATGTCTGTGTGTGTGCGCCTTTTTTTTTTAATTATTTTTGTTTAATAAAATAGGAATTACTGCATATGTAACGAAGAAAAAATAAGTATAGTTTAAGTAATTACAAGAAGACTTTCTACTACTTCTATTCCTTTTACATGTCGCGTTAAGATAAATACAGATATCAAAAAAATATATCTGGGACAGAATTTTCACTTCCTAAAACGATAGGTTAAAAAAAACAAAGCTTGTTTAATTGCTAAGTTGAAATTATGAAGCATAATTGGTTGGAAGTGGCCTTTGGGTTATAGGAACATCACTATTTCTTGCTATTGAAGATTTAGTTTTCTACCTTAAGGAGTCATAAGCTAGAGCATTAAGATAGATGTAAGTATTGAAAACCATACACCCAGTGAATTAATTAGCACATATAAGTGACAACGAATGAAGTTGTGTATATCATTTCAAAATGCACTGTTTTTTTCATCATTGTATATAACCCGAAGGAAGTGGCCACTGGGTTATAAGAACATCACTTTTCTTACTATTGAAGATTTAGTTTTCTACCTTAAGGAATCATAAGCTAGTGGATTAAGAAAGATGTAAGTTTTGAAAACCATATACCTAGAGGATTAATTAGCGCGTGTAAGTTACAACGAAGGAAGTTGTACTCTCTCCGGTCCTTATTATAAGGCATTTTGATTTTGTCCTAAGTTTAACTTAGGGTGTATTTTTAATTGAAAAAAAAATCTTAAAAATATATTTTCACATTTATTGTGTTCTCCTAGTTATTATGAAATATTTTTAAGATTTTTATTCCAATTAAGAAGACATCATAGGTAAACCTAGTACGAAATCAAAATGTCTTGTAATAAGGACCGGAAAGAGTACATCATTTTATGATGTACTGTTTTTTCATCATACAATATAAATTAGGATCTATATTCATCTTTGGCATATTTTACCTTTTCCATTTAAGTTCTACATCACTAACAAAATAGGGAATGAACCCCAACATCTAAATGTGTTTCACATGAAATGCAATACAAAATAACACATAAAACATTTTCAAGTACGAAAGTAGTAAGTTGATATTTGGGAGAAAAAAAAGTTACTCCCGTCCCAAAATTATTGTCAATTTTGAATATTCAATTTTAGCTCAAATTAATGAAAATCCAAACTTTATTAAATTAATGAAAATCTAGTTTGAATTTTCAATTGTACTAAATTAATAAAAATCTAAATTGCACAATAATTATGGGACAGAGAGAATTAATATTATGGCGTCATCTCGACTATCAAACCATTCCAAAATGATTTTAATTTCGAATGAAAGTGTGATTAGAGGTAACATTATTTTACGTTGTGGATTAATTTTGATATAGATTACGGAAAATAGAAAAGACGAGGATATATATTTTAGAAAGTCACTGTCAAACGGACCGAAAACGAGTAGGTTGCAGTTACGAGAAGAAGATTACTAGTTTTAACTCATGATCTGTTATGATAAACTAGTTTAATGTTTAATGTCAGCGGCAATGGACGGGGGAAAACACAATGTGAACTTCACTATAAGGATAACCGGAAAAATCCTAAAAAAGACACTGGTCATTGAACTGACTGCGTGATAACGACATATTGGCATATGGGGGATGAATTAAGCGATGAACTCATTACCTGCTACGATGTGATTTAGCATAAAATAAACCTAATTAAGCTATTAAGTATTATTTTTCAGACCACGTCGTATGACCGAAGGCCTTATTATATTGTCTAGAAGAGAAGTCTCAAACTTCAAAAAAAGACAAAAAAAAACCTCATTTATCCTTAAAAAAATAATTTATAGTATTAAATTTTGAGATTAATTTTTTTTTAATACAAAAATATTCCAGCACCTGTAAACAGAGAGATGCTTCACCATTCTCTCAGTTAAATAGAATAGTCTTTTGCTTCTACCACATTTCAGAAACATACAAGTAATTAATTAGTTCGTCTCTTGGTTTTGGGTATTGTGTTTTAAGTTTTCTTTTTTTGTTCTTTTAAAAAATTGTGATAGCCCCAAGAAGTTTTTGAACTTTTCCGCATCTTCCTATCCAACCCTCCCAACCTAATTTAACAGTTTTTTCTTATATTTCTAAGCAACCTCACAATAAGTTCTTACATTTTGTCTTCAAAAAAAGTTCTTACATTTTAGTTTTACTTAAAACTACGACCAAAATAGAAATAACACTTTCCAGTCCCTCCATTTTATGTAACTTGTTTATACTTCCTTCGTTCCGAAATGATTGTACTATTTGATACTTGACAATGATTGTCACATGGTTTAGACAATTATTTGAGATGAAAGGAGTATGTTACATGCATTAATTAATTTTCTTCTGTTGCGCCTCGCGCGGACCCCTTTTTTACAAACATCAATAATTTACAAAGTATATAAAGGATGAATTGTGTGGATTAAACTAATATTAATTAATTTTTTTATATTTTTTATATGAGTATTTACTCACTGAAGATCAGTGAAATAAATTAAATTAAAAACATGGTTTCTTATAAGTTTTTCTTATAATTTTTATCTATATTATTCAGTGAAAACCATTTTAAAAAGTAAGAGAATAGAATCACAAGAAAATAAAAGAGAGATAAAATTACATAAATTTTTGGCCGGATTGTTTTGACCAGAAAATGGGATAGTAGAAAATAGTGGTTTTGGACATTGAAAAAAATACCAACAATTAGTTTATTTTTTGAAAAAATACCAACTTTTGCAAATTTCAAATTCTTCGACTATATTTGCTAAAATAATATACTCTTATACTTTGTTTCTAATCCTATGTATAGTGTCATCGAAATCGATCGGAAGAATTTTAAAATTTAGATTGGTGAATAAAGCACTATTCGATATTTAGAAAGTGCATATATTTTGCATTTCATGCACAGTGTAACTTTTATCTTTTATTTTATTAGTATACACTTAATTTTTTTTATACACTTAATTTAGCACTAAATAACTTTTTTCACTTAAGCTTAATAGAAGTAATTCAAGAGAAAATTCAGACTAAATATTGCATATATTTTGCATTTCATGCACAGTGTAACTTTTATCTTTTATTTTATTAGTATACACTTAATTTAGTACTAAATATTTTTTTTTCACTTAAGCTTAATAGAAGTAATTCAAGAGAAAATTCAGACTAAATTAGTTTTTAAGAATTAAAAATTACTAAATTAATAAAAAGAAACAGAGAAATAAATTTCATAAATATGTTTATGTAAATTTATTTTTTTAAGTAAGGTAAATGATGTGGGCCTAAACACCCACCATTACCAAGAAAAGTTATTTTATTAACGATTAAAATGTTGTCACTTGTCAATGACTATAAATTCTTCCCATTTTTTACAAAAAGGGGAAAAAAAAAAAAGAGAAAGAAAAATAGGCCCTGGTGAGGAGACGAGGAAGTAAAGGAAGTCATGCTTTTATAGATAAAAAGAATGGAATATTTTAATTGACTTGACTAATAGAGATATAATATTCTTTTGGAGAAAAGACAATCAGTAGTTTGAAGTCTTTGTTAACTACGTACCAATTAGCTTACAAAATAATTACAATATCACCGTTGACTATTATCTTCTTCCAGACATACCTAGTTAAAGCTTCTCCAGCCATTTCTCACGTATCAAAATGTGCTACCATGTTAAAAATAATCAGAAACCAGTATTATTTAAACCCAGTTGGAGAAGAGATGTCAAGTGTTGGAATGTTTCTCAATTTGCAGGAATTGTATCCGTACTGGAGAAGATTTTTAAATAGTTATAAACAAGCGATTTTTTTTAAAATTTTCTGACAGTTTTATATACAAAGACACAAGTATAGAGTTTGATTTTCACCAGTGCAAATATATAGTCTTTATTTGTTGATTTAAAACACAGGATAACTACTAGGAATATTTGCGAAGGGTATGAAATGATGGTAAATTTCCACCCTGTGACCACAAGGGAAGGCACTTAGCTAGGCTAGGACAAAACAGCATGTATGACTGTCAAAATTGCGTACCAAAATTTGTAAATGGCAACTTCTCCTCAAGGCTAACGACCGGTTATATAAATAATACAATATACAAAGTGGAAAGACTCAGCGATTCCTCCCACCATCCACAACAGTCCGAAGCTTGTTTGCATGTAGATAATGCAAATATCTAAAATTGCACAAACAGGGAATTCTTCACATTTGAAAATGATGGGGATGATAACCATTGTCAACTATCAAACCATGTTGACAAAAACAAAATGTAGTTAAATGGTATTATATGAAAATAGGACGCCCCTTAACTAATTTGATCAGTTGTTTGGTGTTCATTTTCGATATGATCCTTTATAGTTCCATATTGGTGAGTCAAATTATCGAAAAATAAAATAAAATTGGTACTCTCGTAAAATAAAGAATGAAAAAAAAGGGGCAAGGATGAACTAATCAACTCTAAGCCGTAATGTTGGTTGTGTAATTCATCCATCAAGGAATGTCAACATGTTTACCTCGTCAATGAGCGCATTGTTTTTGGTCAACGGGTTCTGTCTGGCTTAGATTCCAAGAATTCACGTTGCACTATATTATAAGCATCTATCTATGGAACAGAAGTACAGAACCAAAACTGAAACACCAAAATTAAAATGGCGATGACAATCCTTTCCAGTTACATACCATTTCTTTTGCTCATTCACATTCTATTATCATTCCAAACGTTCCCCAAGAATCATCATCTGACTCTCGCTCTCGGCGATGACTCTTCACCGCCAGCTGAAGCTCCGTTGCCGCCGCCTGTTTACCGGCAGATCCCTCCACCACCAGCTCAACCTCCCTCGTCTCCTCCTGAATCTGAAATCTCTCCACCACCACCATCTGAACCTCTTTCGCCGGGTGAATACTGGGTTCCTCCGCCCCCTCCTCCTCCACCGCCCAGTCCTCCACCACCTCCCCCGCCACCGTCACCGCCACCGCCATCATTTGAGAGCAAGCGTGTTGAGCTGGTATTCCCTGTCATCCAAAAACTCAAGAAGAAAATAGCGAATGACCCGAAAGGCATTACCAAGACCTGGGTCGGTCCGGATATTTGTAATAAATACAAAGGATTCCGATGTGCCGTTCTCCCTGATCTCGGTGTCAAAGGCGTGTCCGACGTACAATTTAACGGGTTCAATTTCGAGGGCCCGGAATTGACACTGGACGGGTTCATTGACCAGCTGCCGGACCTTAGCATCTTCCATGCGAATTCCAATAAATTCACCGGCATAATCCCGAAGAAGATTACAACCTTCAAGTATTTATTCGAGCTGGACTTGAGTAACAACAATTTCGGCGGCCAGTTCCCTTATGAAGTTCTAGGAGCCACCAAATTGACCTTCTTGGACTTGAGGTTCAACAAATTTTCCGGTGTAGTGCCTCCCCAAGTGTTCACGTTAGACCTGGACGTACTCTTCATCAACAACAACAACTTCCGGCAAACACTGCCGGACAACTTGTTTACCCTGCCGGCTCTTTACTTAACTCTGGCCAATAATAAACTCACCGGTCCAATTCCGTGCACTATCGGGAAAGCTTCAAAGACATTATCCGAAGTCCTGTTTTTGAACAACCAGCTTTCAGGTTGTCTTCCAAGCGAAATCGGGCTGCTGAAGAAGCTCACTGTTTTTGACGTCAGTCGAAACCTGTTGACCGGTCAAATACCGTATTCATTTGGTTGCTTGACCAGCATGGAGATTCTGAACTTGGCTAACAATCAGTTTAATGGAGTTGTTCCTGATTCCATCTGTAATTTGCCGAATTTGAAAAACTTCACCTTGTCCTATAACTTTTTCACCGGAGTTGGGCCGGCTTGCTTGAAGCTGATTAAGAAGGGAGTTCTTGATGTGAAGAAGAATTGTATTCCGGGGATTTCGAACCAAAGATCAAAACAAGAATGTGATGCATTCGCATGTAAGCTGAAACGGTGCCCCAACCCACAAAACTACCCGTTGAATTGGATGCCGTGCCGGCAGAGTACCCGATCCAGTGCAATGGTTCGGCGTAACGCCCGAGAATTAGCAGCAACACCGTCGGAGTTACCACTTTCTTACAAGGCTCTGCATTCTCATTAATTTGATGTATTTAAATGTTAAAAATGACTTATTAATTTGAATGAGAATCGATTTTCTCATAGATTGGAAAAGTTAAGTTTATACTATCGAAGTTAGTTTAACTCATGTGTGTTTCGACTTGAGGACACAAATATTGGGTCGAACTCTTATGGATATGATCAACCCGTATTTATTTTGTCTTAGATTAATTTTCTAGTCAATAGAGAAATTTGCTGGAAGAGTAAATTCTAAACGATTTTCATTTAACCCAAATTTTACCAAATTGATTAGCAATGATTATGAAGGTGTTAATGAATTATAATATTTCATTTGACACAGGAATTAATTTGTTGCAGTAATGCTGAACGTTTTAATTTTTAATTTCTAGTGGTTTATTCACTTATATGAGCAGAATAAATTTATTCAATTGAGTCATTCCTGAATCTACGTTAAGTTTTCAGAAGCAAGCTCTTATCGTTGTAGAGCCAAGAGAAGACTACATGCATGCATCTCCCTGTTAAATTGACTAGAGAGGCTAAAGGCTTGGCTAAGATCAAAGCCTTAATGACTCATACGGTCGATGACGAGTCTTAATTATTACGGTTCAAATTCGGCGAGCGGTACCGGTCTCTAAAAATTTCTAGGACGGTTGATAATTACTTTCTTACTAAGAAAGGGTTTCACAGACAGGTAACCTTAACGCTATAAATAAGGATCAACCCCTCACATTAAAGATACGCTCTACGCACTACAATTCATACCCCTATTATAATTACTCTTGCTGACTTAAGTATCAGAGTGTTTACCCTCGGAAAACCCCGAAACCCTCTTTTGCAGGTTTTAGGATTTTGAAACCTCTATGACCGCCGATTCAATCAAATGGAGACATCGGTACAAATTTATGCTTCATTAAGTGGCACATCCGGTGGGACCCAAACATGGTTCTTCGCCCTTCAACAAACCCTTTGTGAAAAAGGTGGAGATTGTATCAAAAGTCTCCTTTCAATTCGTGATGACGGAGGACAGCATTCCCATCGTCTTAATACGGCATGAATTCGGGCCGTACGGTGTCCAGGTTCTACGTTTCTTAATTAGCATTAATTTTATCAAATTAAAGTTGAAGTACTGCCTGCATATGCTTGAATTACGACCTCCGTTTTGCGATGAATGTTTGATTCCAAAACAACCACCTTGTCTTTGTGATGGATTGAAAGCAGTACTAATTAATCATCTTAAAACTCATGCAAGTTCTTGACTTTTTGGGGTGTATAGCCCTTACATTATCTTAATGGGGTTATATTAAATTGTGGTCAAATACATATCAACCTTAGTGGCTTTTAACTTTGTTGCATGATTGTTTTCCATGCATATACACTGCCTTTTACATGTTCTGCCCACATCTAATGTAAAGCGCATGGATCTATGCTCATAACGCCAAAAATAGGTTTATGCCTTTCCTTTGTCGAATATAATCACAAATATTTGCCAAATACATCAGATAGAAAATTCTCGAGGAGTAGCTTGGTCGAGGACTACGTTGGTCAATTTATTTATAGAAGTTACACATTATTTCTAATCCCTTTTTGAAGTTCAAGCTAGTTTCAGGCTTCAATTCTCTAAATGGTTATGGTGAGACACGATTTGTGTTGTCGTTAGAATCGTTCTTCAAAATAATAATTTATAAACCTACTGAAAACTATTAGCTAGTGGTAAGTAGGGTCGTTCCACAGGGACGACAGTCAACCGCTTAAAATCTTATTAAAATGTAGGAAAAGAAAGAAAACAGTTGAACAGATTATCACTTGAGAGAGTGAGAATAGTCACTTGACAGAGTGATGAGGCAGAAGGGTCGATCATCTTCCTACCTTTGTGGTCCAGTATTGATTCAATGTTCCTGTAGTGTATGATTAGTTGTTCGATCAGACACCTATGTATCTTTATAATTCCGTTAAGATAGAATAAAGAGTCATAGATTATCAACCCAGTCAGAGTCCTATTTAATCTAAGGCATGAAGTTCTTAAGCCCTTGTAGATCGCCTATGCCACCACCGAACTGCCGTTGGTGAATGAAACCAAAGGGGTGGAATTCCTCCTCTATCATAGACTAGATTAATCAGTTTTAAGGTTATGCGTTCCCTTCCAGATCTTCATAATCATGCAGGAACTTTTAATTAAGTGATCAAGTTAACTAAAAGGTATATTAAAACACTTATCTAGGCACAACACCTCATCAAGGAAACTGAATAAAAAATTTCACATGAAAATAGTAGGGATTGAAACCTTAACTGAGTTAGCTACTCATGCTTATTGAGTTAAGCATGAGAGCAACAGAGTTCAAAAGATAGGACATGAATCCCTATCTAAATGTTAGAGGAAAGAAAAGGAAGATGGTAGCAGGGACAGTTCTGTCTGCTCACTATGGTGAGTGGCGTTCGCCACTTGACAGAGTGACAGTCTGCCTTGTTCCTGCTACTACCTTGTTTCTAACCAACTAACTACTACCTAACTACTGTCTTTTAGACTAAATCTAACTACCCAATCTGTCCTCCTTTCCTACTTCTATTGGCTGGCTATTTATAGAGATTTGGAGAGGCTTGGATTGGTGGAGTTTTAGCCTTCTTCTCTGCAGCAGAAAGTTGAGACAAAAACTTGCAGCAGAGGAGATTTGTTTATTCTGCAACTTGCCTAGTTGGCATGTTGTAGTCTTCTCTTTGGCTGCTCATTCTCTTTCAGCCGCAATTTACCATTCTTATCATTGCCTGCTTCTCTTAGTCTTCTTCTCCGGCGCAACTGCTTTAATTTCCAGCCACAAGTCTCTATTTCTTCAATCTTTAATCCTCAGCAGCCAATTTAGCAGCCGCAGCAAGCATCAGCATCAGCAGCATGCTTCTTTTCATCATTATGTCTTCAGCCCCCAATTCAGTCTGAATCTTCTGCCCTTTTCTTCCTTATTTCCTGGGTCACTTGCTATGCCATTGCTCACCCTTCTGCAGCAGCCAACCCATCAACTCAGCAGCAGCATCAATGGGTAAGTAGCAGAGTTGCAGCTACTGCTTATCACATATTCTCCCTCTTTCTCTTCTTCTACTTGCAACAACAACAACTTGCAGTGATAGCAATGTAATTTCCTTCCTTGGGCATCAAGATTACAACTAGTGGCTCCTTTTTGATTGACAACAGCAACAGCTACTGCAGCAGAAATCAGGCAGCAAAGCAGCTGCCATTCTTCCTCCAGATTGAGGTTGCTGCAGCAAATTCTTCCATTTGCATCCATCTGCCATCAATATTCCTTCCTTAGCAAGGATTTCTCCACTTACTTTAGCTTTGATCAGTCCTTCCAGCAGCTCTAATTCTGGCAGCTTCCAATCCAATCCTTTTTTAATGCTTTTTTTGTGCAATTTAGTCCTTAATTATGCTAATTTTCTATTCTGGCCCCTTGAGATACCTAAACTGCAAAATCACCCCAAAAGTAAACTAATACTAACTAATTAATACTAAATTATAAGCAGAAAGGAGTAGAAAATGCTAGCAAAAAGTGTATATATTTTTACATCATCAGAATATCTCTCCTCGACACTTATCAAGCACCAGTTCAGCCAAATCATGAACATCCAGCGAGATTCAATATATTATTTATGCTGACTTTGCATGTTTCATGAAGGCAATAGCATGAATAAGCCTAGTCCTCGAAGCAAGGCCACTTAGTGTAATCCAGGCATGACAAACTTCCTAGAAGTCGCGCACTCTCCAATACCAAGAGACGATCCCATGGCCGAGTAGAAAGCGTGTCGAGCTACTCAGACACCCCACTTTGAATCCATTTTCAGCTAATAATCTCAGCTCATTTGGAAGAAAAACAGATAAGTGGTTTCAAACTTTTTTGCGCAACTTTATTTTGTTCCTAGCTGAACTCTTACACGGAATTTGCCTCACCTATACCCATGTGCCTATCATGGGTCTTTGATTCTATATTTGAGCATCGTTATTCTATTCTTATCATCCATGATTTTTTACGATAAATCTTTTGAGTTTATGGTTGACTAAGGAAATTACTGCCCGCTAACTTTGGTTTGAGAGACTACACACCCTCCTCAAACCAAACAAGATCGAGAAGCAAGTTAGCCAGCGAGGACTACGAAGCCTCCCGTCACTGCAGAAATCCAAGCAGCCGTAGCCGCTCGACATGGATTCAAAATTTTTTGACAGTTGTACAATGGTCCTTAGTGATTTTATTGTTTATACTCAGACGCTAAATCTTCTGAATGCGCAGAATAGCCCCTGGACTGTCAAAGGACATACTCGGACAAAATTTGCTTTAATAAGCAGAATTTATTCTTCGGTTCCTTCGAATATTATTTATCATCCTTGCCTCTAATGGTTTCATTATTTCTCATACAAGTCCTAACTTTACAACAAGGGACGACCTGATATCTCAAAGGTCACATCTCCTCAAAGAGGTGCACAATTTCCTCGGGACTTGAACGGGGCCACTCGTTTGTTTTCGGCAGCACAAGCTGAAACATCTCTTCCTACATAATAGCACGAGGCAGACACTTTAATAACAGATAAGTTATCGTAGCCTTCTATTACAAATAAGTTCACATCTCATTGCCTTCCGAACTTATTCATATGATATGACAAGTTTAAGTCTCAAGCATCATTATGCATAAATACACATACTATGCCTCCTTGATTCTATTGTTGCTACATAATCATAAAAGTAACATGTTGATTGTATGTTACCTAATAAGGTTTTATCATATACTTATATAAATCAATACCTCTTTGCCATCACAGCAAACATGAAAGTTTTTGAAAAGTATTTCAATAACATTACAAATTAAAGTGCATGCACAACTCGCTGATTTTGGGGTACTACTTGCCCTATTCTTATATCAGAACGTGACATTCGCATGCTTACTTCATTTTAAGCCATGCATAATTCTTGTATGCTCACCAAGGGTCCAACTACCTTATTATTAGAACAACTAACGTTTTATCTAAAAATAAACAGATGTGCA